CCCGCCATCACCCTCCTCATCCGCCGTCACCCTCCTCACCTGCCATCACCCTGCCACCCGCCGTCACCCTGCCACCCGCCATCACCCTCCTCATCCGCCGTCACCCTCCTCACCTGCCATCACCCTGCCACCCGCTGTCACCCTGCCACCCGCCATCACCCTCCTCATCCGCCGTCACCCTCCTTGCCTGCCGTCACCCTCCTCACCTGCTGTCACCCGCCATCCTCCTCCTCGCTCGCCATTACTCTCTCACCCACTGTCATCCTCCTCACCTGCCATCATCCTGCCACCCACTGTCACCATAACCCGCTGTCATCCTCCTCGCCTGCTATCACCCTGACACCCATCGTCACCCTTCCACCCGCCATCACCCTCCTCACCCGCCATCACCCTGACACCCACTATTACCTTCTTCACTCACCATCACCCTTCTCATCCTGCTACCAGGCTGGGGCCCATCCCACGCACATGGGGGCAGGGTTCCTGTCACCCCCCCGTCCGTAGATCTCCCCCAGCACCCGCCCTGCCGGAGCTCCCCACGGGGTGAATGGGTGGACTGGCCCAGTCTCTGCCGGAGCTCACCGAGGCCGTTCCTAACCTGGCCAAAAGGGGTCAATGCAGAGTAACGTTTAGCCAAATACCTCAGGGCCCATCCCCAACCCACCCCATTGCACCTCCGTCCCCTGCCCACCTGTCTCCTTCCCAGACCAGGAATGGGGGGCAGGTACCTCTCCACACAGCTGAGATGTCCCATGTTCGTGCACAAGTTGCCGATGGGTGACGGCCCCAGCTCAGGGGTGAAGATGAGCCCGGCAGGTGGGCGGATGGCCCGGTTCCCTGGGTGGGGGCTGGCTCCCTCGGGGCTGGCCATCACGGACGGGCCTTGCCGTGGGGTCTGCTGCCAGGGCCGGGAACCACCCCGCTGCCCAGGAGCTCGTCCCTAGGGAGCTAAAGACACCCCCAAGCAGCTGGTCCCCTGCCCTGGCCAGCCGGGGGCTGCTGTCCTGCCTAGAGCTCCGATGGCCTGGGGCCGCTCTGCCCCCTCTGTGTGCCTCTGCCCTCCCCACCTCGCTCCTCCCTCAGCTCAGCTCCTGTCGCCAGCCCTGCGTTTAAATGTCCCGCTGCCAATGGGGAGAGACCAAACCCTCCCTGGTCACCGTTGCTACAGCAAGCTCTCTCCCCTGGGGACAACACTTCAGTTGCAAGGGCTGGGGGGCAACCTGCCTCCTGCTGCCCAAGCTCTGCCAGCTGCCCCGGGCTGCCCCCCGCGTGGGAGAGCTCCAGAGCCAAGGCATCTCTGCACGCCCCCCCCCCCCCCACAGCTGCCCCTTCCCCCTCTGCCTCCCTGGCTGCGACTGGCCGTTGCTCTATTGTCCTGGCAGCACAAAGCCTTTCTCTGTCGGACGCCCCGCGCTCCAGGCCCGGCAGAATCCCCCGCGCCAGGCAGCCAGCCGCCCTCCCCTGCCCCTGGGGGCACAGCCGACACGGCTCAGACAGCTCGTGTTCCCCACGTCTGGCTCGGCCGCAGACTTGTCCCCTGAGCTCAGGCCTTGCCGTCCCCACGGCACAGCTCCCCCGTGCACCTGGCAGGGCACAATGCCCGCGGGGGCTCTCTGGCTGCGACGCAGCCCCCCCGGATGGCAGCTTAGGAGCCCCTGTGGCAGGAGCGGCCTGTCCTTGTCTCTGAGGGACCCTTGAGTCCTTGGCTCTGGTGGGCTCTAGTGCCCGTGTCTGCTGCGGTGCAGGGAGCCGATTTCAGGGGCTGGGCGTGTTCGGAGAGCAGGTTGTTTGTATACACACACCCTGGTTCCCTGAGAACACACTGCATTCGGGTCAGGCGCCGGCGCCCTGTCCCCTGCTCCCTCGCCTGCCCTCTCCAGGGTCCCACACGCACCTCAGCCAAACCCGCTGCTTAGCACCCAGCCGCCTTGCTCCAGACTTATGCTGGGAGTCCCCCCTGGCACCCAACTGCTGGAGGAGGCCGGGGGGCCGGCCGCTGGCAGGGGGCGCGCAGGGATCCCCGGGAACAAGCTCAGTTCAGCCTGTTCCCTACACATCAGCGAAAGCCCCAGGCCGGCAGCCTGGCTACCGGACCATAAGGCGCGATCCTGCTCTGGCGCCCTGTTGAGATCATGCCTGGTAGAAAAGAGGCGCATGGAATTGGGAATGAATGGACCAAAATCGGGGTGTCGGAAATTAGGCCTAATTAGTGAACAGTATAATGAGGGGATGGGCTAGTCCCCACCCCTCCCCTGTGGGACCCTTAACAACCCCAGAAGGGGAGAGCAAGAGGGCAAAGATGGGGACTGAAAGGAGCAAAATCTGCCACCCGCGGGTTGGGCCTTCATCATCCAGAGCCAGAGAGAGACCCAGCGACACCTCCGGCTGGGAAGTGAGCCCTGCTCTCCGGCTGTCACACCTCCCCGCACCCCGGGTGTCCTCTTCCTTCGCCTTGTGTCTTCCCTTTCCTCGCGCCCGCGCCCGCTCCTGCTCACCCAGAGTCTGGCTCGGCTGGCCGGGGCTGTGCCTTTCCCAGCGTTGCTGGGAGACGGGACCAGAGAGGCAGGACACGGATAAATTGCCTGACGCTGGTATAAGTTTTCCAGGGCTCAGCGGGGCTGCTCAGAGCATGGGCTGGACTCGGGTTGTTCTAGCTGGGAGGAAGCAAGAGGGAGTCAGACCAAGAGCTGGAAGCTGCACGGGCAATGAGCACTGTCCCTGCAGGCTTCCCAGTTCCTGGGGCTTAGAAACGGGAGCCCCCTGTCCCAAGCCTGCCAGGGGAGGGGCCAGGTAAGTGTGTCCAGCCCTGGCGCGTCTTCACTGGCAACGTGGCAGCGCTTTAACGTGGCTTGTGAGGTCGCGGCAGAGCGCGGGGAGAGCGCTCTCCCAGCGCTCTAAAAACCCCACCTCCACGAGGGGCAGAGCTCCCAGCACTGGGGCACTGTCTACACGGGCGCTCTACAGCACTGAAACTTGCTGCGCTCAGGGGGGTGGTTGCACCCCCTGAGCAATAAAGTTGCAGCGCTGTAACGTGCCAGTGTAGACAGGCCCAATGCTGCAGTGACATAGCCAGTGACGGGTGACATGTCAGGCAACGTCCCAATCTCAGCTCTGGGGACACCACACACCCAGCACCTTGTTCCGGCCCCACTTCCCAAGGGTTAACGTCAAACAAAATGTACCTGTGCAGGAGCCTGGGAGGAGCCCCCCACTTTTGCAAGTAGGTGTCGTGGCGTCTAGAGCCAAAGAGGCTATTTCCCAGAGTGGGGTTCAAACCTGACCGTCCGGCCCGGCCCGAGCCAAGCTAGGGGTGTGACGCGAGGGAAAGCTGCTGTGGGTTGGGGTATTGCTGGTAAGTGTCCTGCCGCCGGCTTGGGGCTCTGGTGAAGAGGCACCAGCACCGGTTCCATGCACAACTCAATGTAGAACGTGAGCCCTGATGGCTGGAGCATCAAGCGCAGGGGCTGCCCGGTGGATGCGGGCGCAGGGTCAGCTGGAATATTTACAGCACTCTAAGTAGTCTCACTTCAGGGTGCCAGGCTTGGATTCTGCTCTATTCAGGTGCTTCTACTGTGGCGTTTAGCAACCCTGGTGTGACGTAGTGGGGGTTTTTCTTGTTTTCTGTGGAGTTTCAATGGTTTGCATGCGGAGGGGGTGGGACCCAGTTTCCCTGGATGTTACTGGTTTAACGAGGTGAGGGGAAGGGAGTTTGTTTTGCAGAGGACCAGAGAGAGGACTTGGGGACCCAGCCGATGGCCGGGAGGATGGATACCCCAGTGACCAATGACCTCGCGACCTGGTGACCCGGAGGCCCAGCTGAGGAGACGCAGCCGGTTCTGGCCAGAGGACAGAAGCAAGAAGAGGAGGCCTCAGTTTACAACCCTGTTTCCCTGGAGAGAAGACAATGGACAGAGGCGGGACCTGGGGCTGGTGATCTCAGATGCTGTCACGGAGTATTGGGGGACTCAGGGCCCTGCACCCCCGGCTTCCTGCGATTCACCATGACTCTCAGCCAGCCAGTAAAGCAGAAGGTTTATTTGGATGACAGGAATACAGTCCAAGACAGGTCTTGCAGGCACAGACAACAGGACCCCCCCAGTTAAGTCCAGCTTGGGGTCCCAGGGCATTCCAGCCCGCCCCCTTCGGGGGGTGTCAGAGCCATCTCTGTCTCCCAGCCATCTCTCCCGCTCGCTTCCAGCACTCTGCCTTCAGCGACCCCTCCCACAGCCTTTGTCCAGTTTCCCGGGCTCAGGAGTCACCTGGCCTTCAACCCCTTCCTGGGTTCTCATGTTACACTCCCAGGAATGCGCCCCCGGGCCGATCCCATCCTCCAATGCAGACTATCCCAGCACACTCCCCTGTCAGCATTCACAGACCACAGTGAGAACAGGCCCAGTTCGTCACAGATGCCCAGCTGGGAGCAGGGGGCTCGGGGCTGGAGGGGGGAGCAGGCAGAGCCCACCTGGATGCAGAGACTGGGATGTGCTGGGCTGAGGGAGGCCAGGCCTGTGGCCCTGAGAGTTTCCTGTGCTGTGTTCAACTCTCAATAAACCTCCTGTTTCATGCTGGCTGAGAGTCACTCCGGTCTAGAGAACAGGGTGGCATCAACCCCTTTGGGGGTGGAGGCCCGGGGTGTCCAGAGCGCGTGGACTCCCCGAGGGGGCCCCCGGCGAGAAACAGGTGTGCTAGGGCTCCAAGAGGTGCAGATCCAGGAGGTGGAGGGGCCTGACCCCGAGAGAGAGTGGACCCCCGAGAAGGGCTGTCTCACTAAGGGGCACCCCCCACGGACCGCACGGGGCCAAGAGTGGGCACAATCTGTGAGTCCGTGACACCTGGTAGCCGCCAATCTCTGCAGTCTCCTCCGTTTATCCACAGCACAGGGGCACTGGCTAGTTCTGAGATGTCTGTGCAGGAAAAATCTGTAATAGGTAAAATATGGGAGCTTTTATTTTTTGCATAATTTGCTATTGGGTGAGGCCACAGATTTCATTCTAAATCTCCCAACTTCCCCTGGGGAGCCCCCAGCGAGCAGCCGGCCTCTGGCCTGGCTGAAGAAATGGGCTGGATTTCTTTACGTTTTCAAAGGCGGTTGCAACGGTGGCAGGCCAGATGCCAGCTCTTGTCCTGGCTGCAGGCATAAGCTAAGAACTGACGGACTTGTAGCTGGAGACCAGAGCAGGTCACCTGTTTGTTAGTTTTGCTCAAAATAAGTGTTAGACTTACACAAATGTATTTACTGTTTAGACTCCATGAAATGCTTGTAAGTTGCTGCCGGCATTAATCTTATTTGCAGTGCGTGGATTCCAGGGAATAAGAAAATATGTAAGTTTTTGCTTTATAACTTTGAAAATGTTTGCCCTCCCTTGTGAACCCAGGCATGGGCATCATCCCCCCACCCCCTCCAGAAGGACTATCAGAATCAGATGGGCCATTAAGGAAGTTGCAATACAAAGGATTGGTTGATGGCCCTATTGGGGCTTGGAAGCTGAAGGAAGGTAATAAAACAAAGCCACAGGAAAATTTTCCATCCTTTTGTTTGAACTCTGAAGGGCCAGCAATGCCCCTCTGCCATGTACATTGGCCAAACCGGACAGTCTCTACGCAAAAGAATTAATGGACACAGATCTGACATCAGGAATCATAATACTCAAAAACCAGTAGGAGAACACTTTAACCTGTCTGGTCATTCAGTGACAGACCTGCGGGTGGCTATATTACAGCAGAAAAACTTCAAAAACAGACTCCAACGAGAGACTGCTGAGCTGGAATTGATATGCAAACTAGACACAATCAACAAAGGATTGAATAAGGACTGGGAATGGCTGAGCCATTACAAACATGCTCTAATAAATTTGTTAGTCTCTAAGGTGCCACAAGTACTCCTGTTCTTCTTATTACAAACATTGAATCTATCTCCCCTTGTAAGTATTCTCACACTTCTTATCAACCTGTCTGTACTGGGCTAGCTTGATTATCACTTCAAAAAATTTTTTCTCTTACTTAATTGGCCTCTCAGAGTTGGTAAGACAACTCCCACCTGTTCATGCTCTCTGTATGTGTGTATATATCTCCTCAATATATGTTCCATTCTATATGCATCCGAAGAAGTGGGCTGTAGTCCACGAAAGCTTATGCTCTAATAAATTTGTTAGTCTCTAAGGTGCCACAAGTACTCATGTTCTTTTTGCGGATACAGACTAACACGGCTGCTACTCTGAAATCTGAAGGGTCTGAGACTCTAAACTGAAGCCAGAGATCCCCATGGGCTGTCTCCTGGGTCCGCCT